TTTTTTTTTTAATGAAGAGAATTCCAGTTGATTCAGATACAGCTGACCAGCCATTAGAAACTATCAGAGTAAATACCAAAATCCAACTCTGTCAAACCAACTTGAGAGTTTTGTTTTAAACTTTTTTTCTGAAATTTTTTCGTGGAAGTTATTGGTTGATTTATAGCTAATGATAATTGAAAGACCAATTTTTTTTTCAAAATCTTATTAAACTGTCAAGGGTAGTAAATAACTCTGTACATGTATCAATTTATGCATGAGCAAGTATAGCTGAAGGATTAATTCCTAGAACTAGAGTCGCTGAGCCTTAATATATGTATGTTTTGGAGGCCTTGCCAGATTCCCTCTTAGAAATGCTGATTTACATTTCCACTAACCACACAGGCATTTATAAAGATACTTTCTCAAACACTACATCCTTCTCTCAAAATGAGCACACTTCCATTATTTGCATAGCATATAAGAAAGTAACAGATCTTGGCCTGACATGGTGGCTCAGGCCTGTAATCCCAGCACTTTGGAAGGCCGAGGTTGGAGGACTGCTTGAGCCCAGGAGTTAAGAGACCAGCCTGGGCAACATAGCAAGACCTCGTCTCTGTTTTTAAAAAAAAATCAGGCGAGCACGGTGGCTCAAACCTGTAATCCCAGCACTTTTGGAGGCCAAGGTGAAAGAATTGCCTGAGCCCAGGGGTTCAAGGCCAGCCTGGGCAACTTGATGAGACCTCGTCTCTACAATAAATCAAAACATTAGCTGGATGTGGTCGCTCGTGCTTGTAGTTCAGCTACTTGGAAGGCTGAAGCAGAAAGATCACCTGAGCCCTGCAGGTCGAGGCTGCAGTGGCCCTGAAGGTACCACTGCACTCCAGCCTGAGCGACAGAGTGAGATTCGGACTCAAAAAAAAAAAAAAAAAATCAGCTGGGTGTGCACATATGTGTATTTCCAGCTATTCAGGAGGCTGAAGCAGAAGGATTGCCTGAGCCCAGGAGGTTGCAGCTGCAGTGAGCCGTGGTCACGCCACTTCACTCCAGCCTGGGCAACAGAATAAGAACCCGACACACACACAAAAAGGAAGTGACATCTTGATGTAGTGTTTGAGAAAGACAAGTTCACTCATTCTGGACCAAAAAAAATAGCTTCCCTGTCATCTTAAGGCTTCTGCATGGAAGGTTTAATTATGTGAAATCCTGAGTTATTGGGGAGGCAGTATCATGTAGTGATGAGCAGTGCACTGTGTAGTCTTGTCCCAAGAGCACTAAAATTTACTGTTCCCTGTCATGGCAAGTAACTGAAACCTCATATTCACAATAAATCAAAAAATTAGCTGGGTGTGGTAGCGCACACCTGTAGTTCAGGCTACTCAGAAGGATCGCCTAAGCCCAGCAGGTCAAGGCTGGCAGTCACAGCACTCCAGCCTGGGCAACAGTGAGACTCCAACTCAAAGAAAAAAAAAAGGCCGGGCTCGGTGGCTCAGCCTGTAATTCCAGCACTTTGGGAAGCCGAGGAGAGTGGATTGGCTGAGCCCGCGGGTTCGAGACCCGCCTGGGCAACTTGACGAGACTTCATCTTTACAGCAAATCAAAAATTAGCCAGGCGTGGTAGCACGCGCCTGTAGTTCCAGCTACTTGGAAGGCTGAGGCGGAAGGATCGCTGGAGCCCAGCAGGTTGAGGCTGCGGTGGCTGGGAGCGGCCACTGCACTCCAGTCTGGGTGACAGAGTGAGACACCAACTCAAAAAAAAAAAAAAAAGAACAGCCTTACATTCTGGTTCTTATGGTAACATGTCTAAAACAACTGAGTAGGGCATGGTGGTGCACGCCTGTAGTCTCAGCTACTCTACTGCTATTCTACTCGGGAACCTGCCTGGACAACACAGTAAGACACTTTCTCTAAAAAAAAAAAAAAAAAAAAGACTGGAGACTAAACAATTACATAAAGCTTACTTTATGGACATTCCCCAAATCTGGAAGGCTCAAACTCCCATTCTCTGTTTTAGGCATTTTATATAGATAGTTCCACCCCTCAACATGACCTCCTGATGGTACAGAAAAAGAATTTGACAGCTTTCCTCTGGAAGTAACACATGGCACATCCACCCAAACCTCATTGGCCAGCGCAAGTCACATGGTCAAGCCTAATAGCAAAAGGGCAGAGAAACAATCCTCCCACAGGAAAACAGCAAGCATTTTAGAACAGTTACACGGTCTACCACAAGGCACTATTTAGGAAGAGGGAAACCAAGCAGTGCAGACTGGACCAGGGTGAGGAAGGTCACTACAAGAAAACCCCTGCTACTAGAGCATAGGCCAAACCTCTGAAGCACCGGATTTCCCAGGAAGAGCCAGAAGTTCCTTTTTGTGACTGCCATATTTGGCTTACAGAGCAGAAGATAGGGCCAAAGATGAAAGTGTGCCATCTGTGCCACTGTGCTACAGGATGGAGGAGGATCTAAGTACTAAGCAGCCCCTCTCCCAACAGTTGATCACAACTGAAGAGAAGCAGGAATACCATTGCATGGTATACATGGCATACCATGTTACCACAGATACAACCCTGGGCCACCCAGGACCTCACCACGTGGGCCTCCCTGCCCCTAGCCCCTGACCTACAAATTCTGCCTTCATTAAAAAATAAACACTTAGCCGGCTCGGTGGCTCAGCCTGTAATCCCGTGCCTTTGGGAGGCTGAGGTGAGTGGATTCCCTGCGCCCGTGGGTTCGAGACCCTGGGCAGTGAGCCCTCATCTCTACAATAAATCAAAAAATCAACCGAGTGTGGTAGTGCATTCCTGTAATTCCGGCTACTTGGAAGGCTGAGGCGGAAGGATCGCCGGAGCCCAGCAGGTCGAGGCTGCGGTGGCCGGGAGCGGCCACTGCATTCCAGTCTGGGCGACAGAGTGAGACTCCAACTCAAAAAATAAAAACTAAATAAATAAATAAATAAATAAACACTAGCCGAGGCGAGAGGATTGCCTGAGTCCATGGATTCGAAACCAGCCTGGACAACTTGGGGAGACCTCGTCTCTACAATAAATCAAAAAATTAGGGGGGTGGGGAAAAAAAATTAGCCGGGCGTAGGGACAAGCACCTGTATTTCCAGCTACTTGAAAGGCGGAGGCGGAAGGATCACCTGACCCCAGCAGCTCAAGACAGTGGCTGTGAGGGTGCCACTGCACTCTAGCCGGGGCGACAGAGGGAGACTCGAACTCAAAAATAAATAAATAAACACTAAAAAGGAATCAGCTCAGTTGAGTGTTAAATGAAAACAATGAATTTTGACCCCCTACTTGACAACATACAAAAGTTAATTCAAGATGGATCGCACACCTAAATGTGGAAGGTGAAATAATAAAACTTCTAGAGAGAAAGGAAGAAAATACCTTCAAAACTCGAAGGAACTATTTCTTAAACAGGACACAAGATACACTAACCATAATTAGACTTCATCAGAATTAAGGATTTTTTTTTTTTTTTTAAGTCGAGTCTCACTCTGTCACCCAAGCTGGAGTGCTGTGGCACGCTGCTCACGGTCACTTCAGCCTCGACCTGCTGGGCTCAGGCAATCCTTTTGTCTCAGCCTTCCAAGTAGCTGGAACCACAGGCATGAGCCACAACGCCCAGTTAATTTTTTGGTTTATTATAGAGGTAAGGTCTCACCAAGTTGCCCAGGCTTGTCTTGAACCCCTGAGCTCAGGTAATCCTCTTGCCTCCACTTCCCAAAATGCTGGGATTGCAGGCATGAGCTACTATGCCTGGCTCAACAAACCAATAAAGGGTGAAAAGGCAACCCACAGTCTGAGAAAATTAACAATACATATAAGCAACACTAGAATCCAGATATGTATGGAACCCTCCCA